TTCAATAAAAAAGTTTATTTCGATTAAAATTATTCACCCCCGGCATGGCCCTTTACTTCTGCTCGGCGGAGGGAACTGAATTGAATATACTGCTGAAAACATCAAGCTCTCTTCATTTTCAACGCTTTTTTTACTTAAAATCCTACAAAGATCATTTTAAAAAGCATTTTTGAATCATAGATCACTATTTTTGATAACAAATTTACACAGAAACTAAGAATCACAATTTTATTCTGTCAGAGTCTGTCCAATAGTTGTTCAACATTGGCTTTATATAAAACCATTAAGTTAAAGTTTGAAATTCAATGTTTTTTTCAAATTTTCAAAATTATTAAAAGTATTAAGATAATTCAAGAAGCATAAAATTCCCTTTTATATCTTCTGTTAACAAGAAATATGTAGCTGTTAAAAAGTTTAAACCATGTTAAATGGAAAATGTGGAAACAAATGAAACTAACAAATTTAGATATTTTAGCGACGAAATATCTTCCATAGAATGAGAAAATGCGGGAACAAGAAAACAAAAATCTGCAATCGCGTGTAAAAATGTCCTGCGCTCCATATTTAAAAATTATTATGTCTAAACCTATTCTGAGCTGTGCTATAGAGATTCTAAAATATAGGACATAAAGCGCCATCTTGCGGAAAACAGTCTCAATTACCCTTCACACCAATTATAACTTTGTAAACTACTATTTTCAAAACAAGGTTGTGTGAATATTGAACTCAAAAGACATGGGGAGAAAATTCTATTGTTTGCCAAGTAGCAAACTTGAGTAAAATTGAAGAAGTTGACAAATTCCTGGTATAAAACCAGTGTTAATTACATTCTAAACTTTGCTGAAAAGATTCATTAAAATTAAATTTATGACCTCATTTCATTATTTTTACGCTGATATCACAGATTAAACTCTTTTGGAATATTAATGAGAAACATTCTATCCCCTTTCAACTTTACACATTCTATCCCCTTTCAACTTTACACATTCTATCATCTTTCAACTTTACACATTTCCTTACCCAAAAGTTCACGGCATTTTGTAAAACAACGTGACCGGAGGTCGAATTTAAAGATTTAGTCCGCGGTTTAAATTTAAGCCGCGGCTTATTTATGGTTGGATTCACTTAAAATTCTATCAAATGTTTCAAGATTTAAGCCGGCGCTCAATTTAAAGCGGGTTTTGGTGAATTTAAGTCGCGACTTAAATTCTTTAAATTCGGCCTCAGGCTGGCACCCCGCCCCTGAAATGTTTTCAGTAAGGAAGGCAATTTTGGAATGGCTTACGTATTTATTTATTATCTTCTCATTGATTTATTCAAATCCATACGGAATACTGTAACCAGAAATTTTGTTCAAGTCACGTGGAATTTTTTTTATAATTTCCTCTGAAAGTTGTTTTAAAGCACCTTCAATGTTCAAAAATGTGTTTGAAACAAATTTCTGAACCGAATTTAACTTAGACAAAGAAATTGAGTTTTGCCACGATCTCTGATTTTCTGAACCCCATATCGTTACGTCCCATTTTCGTAGACCTTAAATATTTCAAACTATAGAATTCTTTAGATCAAATAATTATGGTTCAAAATATCATTGGTTTACACCATCAGGTTGCAAAGATATAAAGATAAGAAAATTTAAGTTTGTGGCAAAGACTTAACGCTCTTGGAAGATGAAAACAGAATTGACATCTTATTTTTGTTGGAATACACATATTACACTTTGTTTGATGGTCTTTATATGACAGATCAAAGCTTTGTCAGCTAATCAGGTTCCATTTTGTTAAGATTTTGCCAGATAATCAGGCACCAGTTTCTTGAGATTTTCCCTGATAATCAGGCTCCATTTTCTTGAGATTTTGCCAGATAATCCGGTTCCATTTTCTTGAGATTTTGCCAGATAATCAGGCTCCATTTTCTTGAGATTTTGCCAGATAATCAGGCTCCATTTTCTTGAGATTTTGCCAGATAATCAGGTTCCATTTTGTTGAGATTTTGCCAGATAATCAGGCTCCATTTTCTTGAGATTTTGCCAGATAATCAGGCTCCATTTTCTTAAGATTTTGCCAGATAATCAGGCTCCATTTTCTTGAGATTTTGCCAGATAATCAGGCTCCATTTTCTTGAGATTTTGCCAGATAATCAGGTTCCATTTTCTTGAGATTTTGGTTTAGACTGTGGACAATTTTTACGTTGAAAATAGCCTTACATTAAAAATGACTTATAGTAACATGTCCATAGAAAAAATGTCGTAGCACCATAAAAATCTTCTGTGATATGCATTTTAAAAGATTGCTTTTAAAGAGCCATTTTCACATTTTTCTACTATACGTGATATTTGTTATTTAATTTTATGAAATAAGTTTCCACTGCAATCTTATTAATTGAAACGAAAAACAAATAACTAACTTATTAGAAGACGCCTAAATTATACTTAAAACCACGCCATGCTACGGTTCCATGTAATGTTTTTTGACTGACATCTCACGGCCATTTTTTGCATTTAAGGGTTAAGTTTTACAGCTTTTAAAGAAATACTCCAATTTTATACATAAAACATAACGTTTATGAATATTGTCTATTTTTAAAGATTTTGCATTTCCTATTCAAAGGATCTTTAAATATCCCTGAATACAGATGTCTCCTGATTGGTCGTGTACAGTCCTTGTAAACAAACGATCATGCTTTGGAAAATATCGCATATTATAGCTGGTTATCGATCTCTGTAACTCTCATATCTCTACTTTAAACATTAATTATTCTAAAAGTTTCTTCCGATCAGAAAAAAAGTTATAAAACCGTGATTTGTTATTTATTTCTAGAACATAAATTTTCTTGACAAGTTTATTTAGATCACGATTTCTTTCTTATTTTACTTCTTCTTTGAAGTCTAAAAACATATTTTGTTTGTGCACAGTGGACAAGCTTTTAATATTTCATTGACTTGATATAATTTTTTTTTGGTTTTAGTTTTACACTGTAATTCACAATAAATTAATATAAACCATTTTTTACATGAGTGGAATATAAACATATGCAAATATAGAAAGTTCAACTTTATTTAAATCTTTTAAATACTGCAGTAGTAGGCGATTTTATCAATATAATAAAGACGATTTTTGATTTTGATTTTGATTTATATCAAGCTTTTAAATACCATGCATACACAAAAAAACATGGAAACAAAAAGAAGATGTATATTAAAAAGTTTTTTTTTAATTGCTTGTAATTCTAAAAAAGTTTCTTAACAATTAAAACATAAATAAAAAAGTCGTCTTCATTATATTGCTTTAATCACCTACCACCGTAATTTGTATACAATTTCATGTTTAGTTCTATACCTTCACTACCCTTCAAACATAGTTGTATATCTCCTCTACCCTTCAAGCATAGTTGTATACCTTTCTTACCCTTCAAGCATAGTTTGCATTCCTTCCCTACCCTTCAAGCATAGTTGAATACCTTCCCTACCCTTCAAGCATAGTTGTATACCTTCCCTACCCTTCAAGCATAGTTGCATACCTTCCCTACCCTTCAAACATAGTTGTATACCTTCCCTACCCTTCAAGCATAGTTGTATATCTCTATCTATCCTTCAAGCATAGTTGTATACCTTTCTTACCCTTCAAGCATAGTTTGCATTCCTTCCCTACCCTTGAAGCATAGTTGCATACCTTCCCTACCCTTCAAGCATAGTTGTATACCTTTCCTATCCTTCAAACATAGTTGCATACCTTCCCTACCCTTCAAGCACAGTTGCATACCTTCCCTACCCTTCAAGCATAGTTGCATACCTTCCCTACCCTTCAAGCATAGTTGTTTATCTCCTCTACCCTTCAAGCATAGTTGCATACCTTTCCTATCCTTCAAGCATAGTTGTATACCTTCCCTACCCTTCAAGCATAGTTTTATACCTCCTCTACCCTTCAAGCATAGTTGTATACCTCCTCTACCCTTCAAGCATAGTTGTATACCATCCCTACCCTTCAAGCATAGCTCTATACCTCCTTTACCCTTTAAGCATAGTTGCATACCTCCTCGACTCTTCAAGCATAGTTGCATACCTTCCCTACCCTTCAAGCATAGCTCTATACCTCCTCTACCCTTCAAACATAGTTCTATACCTCCACTACACTTCACGCATAGTTGTATACCTTTCCTACCCTTCAAGCATAATTGTAAACCTTTCCTACCCTTCAAGCATAGTTGTATACCTTCTCTAACATTTTATTTTGCTTTCTTGTAATCCAATCGCCATGCTAAATTTTATTTTACTCTGCAGCCTTAATACTTATATTCTTCTTTCCCTTAATGAGATGTAAATGTAATTTAAATTTTTTTAGATAAGAAATGGTCTTCAATTATTAAAATAAATAATCTAAATTAACATTTTATAAAGCACTTGAAAGATATTCATGTATGCATACTGCATGGATAGCTTAGTTCGTTGTTGTGTACTGTACCAGTGCACCGACAACCTACTCGATACGACCAATACACTTGATACACAATATTAACATTAACACAACACTAGACAAGGACGAACACCAGAAAACTGTCTAGATATTGAAATATCTTTATTCGTTTTCTTTTCTTGATCTAATCTGTAAGGTTTCCTAATTTTCATATTATGCAATATTTATGACAAAATAAAATGAAAACACCATCGTAAATGTAATATTTACAAGAAAATTTTGTAATGTTATAAAAACAATTAAATATGTCTTTAAAGATTTAAAACAAAATCTTTATTTACAGACAATTTGAAAAATCGGAGGTACTTTAGGGCCGGCTGATTTTTAATTTTAAGCTTTTTTACTTCATAATTGTAAAAAACAACCTGCTGCTGGGTATTCTGGGTATTTTGCGCATTTTATAACCTATTCACGAAAGATTAACTGAGCACGCGATGATAGGGAGATATGCAAAGTTTTAGACCATTTTAAATAGTAATATTGTGAAAGCACCTTTTTTAAAATCTATATATTATATATATTGAACAGAATGTCAACTCTTGTCCTTCGGAAAGAGATGGAGAAAGAATCCCAGGGGGCTTTTGTGGAACCTCTTCTTGCAAAACAGGTCAGGTCACAAAGGTCCAGACAGCTATTAAAGTTGGCTGTTGATTTAAGCCCCCTAACTTACTATTTTGTAGCGCTACACGTGTACATGTTAAGCTTTACGGCGCTTGTTTTTAGCTTTAGTTCTTAAAAAGTAATTGGCAAAATTCTCATCGATTTTGCTCTGAAAGTTTGTAACCTTTGGATTACTGTGAGGCTCATCCAATTGGATTAGAAACAGACTTTCTGTATTTATTAATTTTATCAACTGTAGAATGAGGTATCATTTTTTTAAAAAAAAGGCTCTGTAGTCTGTAGCGTTAAGTGACCTTTAATTCATATGGTGGTTCATCTGATTTACAATGGCATGTCGTTTTTTATTTTGGCCTGATTAACCCTATTCCTGCTGGGGGGGGGGCGGGGGTCAATTTGACCCCCCCTGTAGTTTTTTTTACACAACTCAAAAAGCATTGGTCTGAGGCTGTTGAAATTTTCTGACTTTTCTAACATACCCACAGCCCACCCTTTAGGCCTAAAACCGGGCTTTAATACTAACTGCCTGAGTCCTCAGGCACACTGCCTGAATGACTGCTTTTTCCTGTAACAAACTAAATCTTTGTTTTGACCCACTTCCACTTGTCAGATTTTGATAAAATTTAGTTTTTTGGAAAGCCTTTGACATAAGGAAACGAATTGCACAAGTTTTGCAAACAACCTGTCAAAGGAAATTTGCACATTTTTAGTTTTTCTTGATTAAAAATCAGGTTATTTAAAATTTTGCAAAAGATTTTCGCATAATTGAAATGGTATGGTCAAGGGCTTTTCAAAAATGTATAATTTTTCATTTTTTGGAAAATTTTTTTTTTCAAACATTTTTACTATATAACTGGATTTTGCGATAAAAAAATTAAAATTTTGCAAATTTGCAATTTGTTTTGCAGATTCTAAAAGTAGAGCACAAGAGCTTTCCAATGATGTATCATTTGTCATATTTGACATCAAACATGGGATTTAGAGGGCGGGGGGGGGGGCAAATTGACCCCCGGCCCCCCAGCATATCCTGGTTTTCAAGTACCCCAGCAGAGATAGGGTTAAGGATTGACTATATATTCTTATTTTAACAATTTGAAAAAATTGAGTTTTTGCCTCAAATCTATAAAAATTCTAATCCCGGTAACGTTATGTTAAGTGACCCGCTACCCTTAGAAAAGCATGTTAGATTCACAACGGCATCTTACAAACCTTGCTCTAATGGAACTGATTTTTTGTCACAAACTCAAATAACAGAATGTATACATACTTTAAAATATCAAAGGTCAAAGACATCAGGTTGCAGATCACGGGCCGCCGTAGTATAGTTGAATTTCCGAGCCGGGTCAACCTTTCCGGTCCCAGTTTGTGCTGTATCGCCCGGACATTGGATAATTAAAGCAGACACTCAATAGGACTAACCGGTCTAACAAGGTTGACGCGGTCAGACTTTAGGTTGAATTTAATTTTACTGAAGGGTGAGGGGTGTGTGAGATATATAGGGATTAGAAAATTAGATTTGAAGGCAAAAACTCAATTTCTTTAACGCAAGAAACCACTCGTGTACACCTACGCGTCGCTAGCAAATTAATTATCTGCTTTATAATAAAGATGTCTCTGCCATTCTTGCTAAATAAAAAGGTTTATGAGATAGCGTTGTGAATCGAACATGCCACGCTAAGGGTATTGGGTCACATTACACCACATCTACAGACCCTTTAAGCAAGTACCAATCCGAATTTTTATTTTATTTTTATGGCTAGGAGGCTGTTTCAGAGGACTCCCTGCAAACCAACGGTGGAATGGATCTTCAAGTGATTCAACCCAGATCAAAGGTAGTCTTTAATCTAAGTAATAGAAATACGTGTATATTTTAATTTTCTGGATTTTCAAGATATCTTGATGAATATATCTATGGGTAAATTATCACGAGGAAGAAAGTTCCAAATGGTACAAATGTTGAAAAAATACAATTGTGTCAATTGAAGGTAACTCTTAAAAAACAAAACATTATAGATACTTTTTAAGCAGAAACTAGAAATGCAAAGATAGATATTTATTTAAAATCAAAATTTTTAGAGGTAACAGTTTTAAAAACACGTCATCAGTTTTTAATTCACGTAAAAAATTTTAAAAAAAAATTCCATGTGTAAGCCGTAACCTGCAATCAACTGCAGGATATCAAATTATATGAAGTAGTAACTAGTAAGAGAGAGAAAAATCATGTACATTCCACATACGCTTCTCTTTGCTCTAAAAATGTTTTAAAAACTGATCTTCCTTTCTCAAAATGTTTTGCTTTTTTGCCCCCCCCCCCCTCTTCATGCAAATTGTATTTAGAATACTTATGTACACCGTTGTGACCTCGTAGTAATTCTCTAGTTTCAAGTGTCAGAATAAAAATTAAATGGTTGCATATTAGAAATTCAAATTTAAATTTTTCTCAAAAGTTCTAAAAAAAAGAGGCTATATCTGAAAAAATGTAAAACTTGAATTTATTGATTTCACACAAAATTATATGTCGTTGAAGATTTATTAAACACTATTTTTTGTTATTGTTAATTTGAGGCAATATTTCATAAAATTTTGAGTGTCCGACGTTAGATAATTTTGAGAAAAGCAAAGTGAAATCAGGGAGAAAATTTAAAACTAAAGTTTAGGAACAATTTAGATCCCTGCAAATCTTCCTTTTACAGCCAACCGATCAAATTTAAATTTAACGCTCAATATTCAGGTTTAAATTTTCAATCAGCTCCAGATCCTTTAAATTCAAACACACGAATATAAACTTCAAATAAAAGGTTTTATAACTCAGTGTTGAATTTGATGTATAAAGGAAAAATACACAGAGATTACAAATGATATTGCTTTGATCCGAAGCTGAATAAATTCACAGATTCAAGTTTTGAATCTTTCTTGCACGAGCTTGGCAAGATCGGAAGCCAAAATTTGAACTAAATATCTTAAATGAATTCAAACTCTTGCAAAATCTTTTCTGGATTAAAAATTCCTTAATTTAAAATGCTGAGAACAATTCCTTTTTCATAACCCGGTCCTTTTTTGTAACCGGATAAACATCAAACAGGTCACAAAGTAGTTTGACCTTGAATGAGGTATACATCAAGGAGGTACAGCAAGATAAGCATTTTTTTAAGCAGAAACCCGCTTAAAAGATTTAAATTAGAATTACTAAAGCATTCCCCCATCAATATCGAAGTTTTAATAATAGAAACTTTAAACCTGCGTCATATATAACACATGACTTTAGCTTAAGTTAAGAACAATCTCAATCAAAATTTTTAATTGGTCAAGAGGTAAAAGGTCGGGTATCCAACCAACCTGACAGACACATGCAGAAATGTTCGTTTTAAAGTTTATACACTGTATCTCCATATATTACTGTTTATTCAACTAGATCTGTCTTCTTTAGTCGGAAATGAATTTAGTTACATATTATTAATTTATATGCTAATATCCGGAAAATATTTTTATATGTTTTTTGGCTCTATCAAATGTAGATTCATAGAAGTATCTACTAGAGAGGGTAACGCATGCTATCGGCAGCATCGGATTTAAACTCAAAGGCCATTAAAAATCTATCAAACAACTTGAAATGAATCTTTAATATTGTTTAAACGTACGGTCGTTAAAAATATAAATTGGAAATTGTAAAATATATCGGTCATATGTAAAAACGGATTCAAAAGTGAAGGCTAACTAAGTGACCTTAAAGTCTGAAGTGAAAAATAAGAGTTTTTATATTCTAGAGCACGATGGATATTGCTGCCTCTGATGAGCTTATATGTATAAATCTAACTGGAAAGAAGTTCTTCGTTATGCTAAAAAACTTTGCAAATCTGCCCAACTCAAGACTTGGACATATGGTAAGTTTAATTACTGGGAACCTCTACAGTGTGTCAAAATTATCGAAATTATCAATAAAAACTGAATGTTTACAGAACTTATATGTCTCAATATGAAAATATCTATTTCCATTGAGTTGAGCTTATACATATTTATATCTGCTGGCGTGGCAGTTTTCTATTGAACCTTCCACCTCTACCCAGTTGTCTTTCAATACAAGATTTCCCAGATTTTTTGAAAAATCCGCTCCGCTAACCGATACCGTTAGTAAGACCGGTCACTGTCACACAAAAAAGCTATGTTTTGGCTTTACATTATTAATCTTCAAAAAAAAATATAGTTTTAATTCAGACATTTATTTCAAAATCCAGTTATTTAGCAAAAAATGTGCAAAAGAAACAGTTGCATGAAATAATACATTTTGGTACGGTCATTGATTCAGCAAATTTAAATATGCAAAAATATTTAAAATGCGAAAATTCCCTTATAGGCGTCTGCGCAAAAATTTAAAAGAAATTCAAGTACAGTGTGTATTTATATCAAGTAAATGATTTTATATATATTTTATGTTCTTCCTTTGTAACCCAAAGTTATTATTGTAACATGACTGGTATTGTCTCTTTATCCAGACTCAGACTTGTATCAAGCTATGGTCTACATATTTCACATTCGTGAACTTTTTTATTTTCTCTATCATTCTTTTGAATATATCCAGAAAGGAATTGAGCCTATTCCACAAACTCTGATTCTATAATCCCAAAATCTTTGGAACCAAAACTCATAGATCTCAGATATTTAAAACTATGAATTCTGTCAGATCAAACGATCTCGACAGACCAATACTTTTGAAGTTGTGTCTAAAAAGCGTTATAATAGAAATAGGGTTAAGGAATATATTAGACAAAGTCGAAATTCATTTTACTGTTTTCTGGTTCTCATGTTTTTTTTCTATGTCATTTATATAGTCACTGAATATATTTTGATATATTTCAAAAATTAGATTCTATATAGAAGTATCATTGGATAATTTTTTCTTTATACTTTCTTTTTTTTCTTTTAACAATAAATCTTTTTTTTTCCAATTTAGCGCCCGAGTTTTAACCATACAAATTGGAAATCGTTAAATCCGCAATACTTGGTTTAAACCCAATATTTACACTGGTTGAGCTCAAGCTGTTGATTCTGCACTCTTCATCCTGACTTTTATTATTTTTCGGAGAAAAAAAGAGAAAAATTTACTATTTTTCACTTTTCTTGCAAAGATAGATTAAAAACATTTTGAAATGTTTTTATGAAAAAAAAGACTTAAATCATAATCCTGTATAGCGAGGGAGCTAAATAAGCAAACCTAAATTTTTCAATAATCTAAACATTAATCAAGAATCATGAATAAAAATTAGCCATTTATAATAATAAACTTAATTTTCGCTTTTTTTGTTAACGAATATTTTGTTCGTAGGTACGAAGCAACGAACAGGCAGATATAGAGAAGTTTTGCGACAAGTTTATTGCAGGACCTGTACCTGAATACTTTTTTGACAGGTCTATGCTACAGGGTGGAACATGACAATAGCCGGACGATTTAAGGGAAATTATTTGCGGCATTTTTTAAGGGTAGTCATTGACCTTTGAAATTATTTGCGGCATTTTTTAAGGGTAGTCATTGACCTTTACAATTATTTGCGGCATTTTTTCATACATTTATTTGTTGAATTATGATTATAGAATTAATAAACACAAAATAGGCATCTAGTCCTGTATTTCCAAAAATGTAATCTGATTTCCACACTTTTGGTTTTACTTTTTAAATTTAAATCTGGACAAAATTCTTAATATCTCCAGTAAAATTGAAATTACAAAAAAAGGCGGACCCACGGTTTTAATGCCAGGAAAGTTTTTTCTTTTTCAGGGGTGTACGCATTTTTTGTACTGTTTCTGGGCGGTAATGTAAACACAAGACGGATGTCACAGCCTGACATGGGATCCATCTTTCACATAAAAAATCAATAAAATATTCTGGTCAAAGTAAACTATTACGTGAATTATCAAAATTATCAAAATTAAATGTTTTTATCCTCCACGGATACTAAACGAATACTGATGCATCCATTCTTGTGTACAAATTTCGCTCAGAGAGAACTGGTTTCGAATTGTATGCAGAGTATATGCAACTGCATTTAACTTTCCTTGCATTATAACCATGGGCGGACTACACTTTGGAAATGCCAGGACCAAAAGAATTTTGTGGTGATTAATGTTTCAAGAAACATACATGTTGACAAACAAGGACCGTAAATAGGTTCAAAGATATCGTACAACCATAAATTCGTCTTTTACTGTCAAGTTTAAGGGACACCCTGTACTTGGTCATTCTATACTTTAAGGGGACACCCTGTACTTGGTCATTCTATACTTTAAGGGGACACCCTGTACTTGGTCATTCTATACTTTAAGGGGACACCCTGTACTTGGTAATTCTATACTTTAAGGGGACACCCTGTACTTGGTGATTCTATACTTTATACCAGAATTGTTGAAAAGAGAGAGAAAATTAAATCTGTTTTTTCTAAAAAGCTTGATTCTATGAAAAAATTAAACAACTTGGTCTCTCCTCAAAAGGCTGTAAACAATCCACATTCTTTCTAATCGGTGGAAGAAAAAAAATAAGAAAAAACATCCAACCGGGGAGACCAAGTGAACCACACTGAAATATCTGATCATTCGCTTTTTTAATATTTTGAGGCACTTCTAGCCAAAGATTTTATGAACAAGATTTCATTCAATTTACAGTTTTTATCAATTAAAAAATTCTATAATATATCTTCCTTTTGGATTTTCGTAGTAAATAAAAATGCTTTTAAAGGGATTCATTTCAAGGAAGTTTCCATTTTAAGAGGGGCTTGTTCGATTCACAACGTGACGGTGCAGAAAGAAAACTTTACTTTTATAGCTTAGAAAGTTGTTAGTTTTAACAATTTCTCCATTGTTTCGGAAGCAGAAATACTCAAGTTGATTTTAAGTAAAACCACGAATGAAAAAAATATAAAAAAACTTCCTGTATTCTTAATCAGGTAAATTTTTTTTAATGGAATCGACTGAGTCACTCTTTAAATGGGAAATCCCTCAAACTTATTTTCATACGTTACTTGTTTAATAGGAGCGGAAAAGGTTTCAACGATATCCTTGATGTGTATAGGTAACATAATATATATATATGAACACACAATGGAACCAATATAAAACACTGGAGCAAGAAGACAACATTAAAGGATTTTTGTGTGTATTTGATGTTGTTATAATAGTATTTAGAGGTACTTTCCAAATGCATTTTTCTGAGGGTGACGGTCTTTCCAAGTGGCAACTTCCAAATGTGCAATTTACAAAGGTTACATTAGGCCCTCTGAGGCGCCGCAGGCTGTAATGGGAGGGGGGAGGGAGCGCTGCAGCTTGATTAGTTGCCGATTTTCATGTTGATTGGACTATTGAAGATCATAACTTAATTTAACAGTCGTCTTCGTATTCCTCCATTTTATGGGTTTCATTTGGCAACCATGTCAATAATAAAATAAAATAAAAATAGACAAAAATATAAAAAATTATAGAGCAAAATTCATCAGACTAGCTTGAAAGTCTGGCAGTTAAGGTTAATACATAAAACACATTTAATGTTTAGGCTTGGTCGTCTTCATATCAATACTGCAGGGAAACTTGAGCAAAATACAAATGATTTCAAATTTCATGGTTAAACGAATTGAAGGAGAAAATAAACTTCGAAAATTATTAATATAGACAAAAACAGAAACTTTTTAACAGCGCCCTAATCCTAAAAATGTATTCTACTCTTGTTTGGTCTACAGGAATGTGTGCTATAAAGCTTAAGGCTCAGCTTGACTACTGGAGTATTGATGAACTACTTCTGGGTTAGTTAAATACAATCGTACCTTCGAATACATATCTGATAAGTATTCGACGAACGTTATATATCTTATAACGCGTTGATTCTGGGTTAGTTAAATATTGATATTAAAAACAATCGTACCTTCGAATACATATCTGATAAGTATTCGACGAACGTTATATATCTTATAACGTGTTGATTCTGGGTTAGTTAAATATTGATATTAAAAACAATCGTACCTTCGAATACATATCTGATAAGTATTCGATGAACGATATATATCTTATAACGTGTTGATTCTGACAATTGCCTGTATTATCTCTAAATACATAAATTTTCAAATTACTATTAAAAAGGAATTTACAACTGAATATACAATAAATATTTAGCTGGTAAATCATGCTTATCTCATTTATCATTGACCAGAGCCCGCGATTTAAAAGCTTCGGCTCGAGCCGTAACTCCTTAAACCCGACTTTAAGACCCAATCTTCGACCCAACTCTAACGACAGCTTGTGTCACGTGATTGACAGCTGCGAGATATTAGGCTCGACTTAAGGAGTTAAGCCCAATGAAAATAAAACCGACCTTGGTTGGTTTTAGTGAAGAATAAGGCTCAATGTTGGGTCTTCTTCTCATCAAAACCCGGAATGCGCCAATTCCAACTATGAAAATCCGCCAAATACAAAATTAAACCGGTTTTGTGAACTAAACTCTGTTGAAAATTAGAGCAACTTTAATCCGAAAGCCCGAGCCGTAAATAAGGCTCAACAACAGCTTAGACCTGAGTCGTGTTTTCTTGAATTTTTTAAATCGCCGGCTCAGATTTAAGGTTACTTGAATCTAAATTCACAGTCCCTTCAAGGCCAAAGTTTAAATTACAGAAGTTTAAACGACAAAGTTCACATTCTTCACTAGAATTTCTTGGCAAATATGTCTAGGAATAGAATGAATGCAAAAATTGTGTTGGGAAGATGATAAGTTGGAAAATGAAATTAGATTGGGATGTGTCAGTTTTAAAAAATTCTTATTTTAAAGGCTACCAACATCTAGAACATGTTTAACTTATCAAAACTAAAAATCTGAAGAAACTGATTAATCGCTACAATTTCTAATTTTTTAATCCTAAGAATTCTGCCAGATAAACAGTCAAAGTTGGTTTTTAGCACGCCTTTCTTCTATTTCAACTTTTAATTGTGGCTCTATCTATAATCGTCATAAAAAATAAAAACAAATAACAATTCACGGATTTAATATTTTTTCGTGGATTTTTTAAGTTTGACAAAACTCAAAATTGTTTGAAGACAAAGTTTTGTAAATCTTTTCTGGGGTCACTCATGTGAGGTCCTACAAAAAATTTGGGCCTGATCAATTCAGTCGTTTTGACGTTTTTACAAATAAACAAACAGAAAGACACGCAAGGTATAAACATAGATTAAGAGTTTAACGATCAGTTTGCACAAATACTTTTTAACCCTATTCCTGCTGGGGGGGGAATAAATTTGACCCCCCCTGTAGTTTTATTTACATAACTCAAAAAGTATTGGTCTGAGGCTGTTGAAATTTTCTGACTTTTCTTACATACCCAAAGCCCTCCCTTTCGGCCTAAAACCGGGCTTTAATACTAACTGCCTGAGTCCTCAGGCACACTGCCTGAATGACTGCTTTTTCCTGTAACAAACTAAATCTTTGTTTTGACCCACTTTCACTTGTCAGATTTTGATAAAATTTAGCTTTTTGGAAAGCCTTTGACATAAGGAAACGAATTGCACAAGTTTTGCGAAAAAAAAATTGCAAATATTTTGCAAACAACCTGTCAAAGGAAATTTGCACATTTTTAGTTTTTCTTGATTAAAAATCAGGTTATTTAAAATTTTGCAAATTTTTTTGCATATTTGAAATGGCATGGGCTTTTCAAAATGTATAATTTTTCATCTTTTGGACACATTTTTTTGCAAACATTTTTACTATAAAACTGGATTTTGCGATAAAAAATTCAATTTTTGCAAATTTGCAGATTCTAAAAGTAGAGCACAAGAGCTTTCCAATGATGTATCATTTGTCATATTTGGACATCAAACATGGGATTTAGAGGGGGGGGGGTCAAATTGACCCCCCCCATCATATCCTGGTTTTCAAGTACCCCATCAGAGATAGGGTTAAAAACTTTCAATTCATTTGTACATGTTTTATGAATAAAAAAATTAAGGTACTTCGCATACATACGAATAAAATAGCAATCTTGTTTTCAGTTTATTGGCTTTCTGGCCACTTAACTCCCATCCTCTAGAAATTATAAAACAAAAACAAAAAAGTTGCAGATTTCATAAAAAAATTTCGTGAGTTTTTGAACATTTATTGGAGATCAAGCTATAAACCTTTCCTGGGGACATTTGAAAAATTTGGGTCCATTCAGTTCAGCCGCTCTATGTGAAACAAACAAATAGACACCCAAACAAGGAAAGTATATATAAAGAGATACAGAACATCTAATTACAAATGTTGAAATGAATCGTATGAATTGATATAATTAGTTAATTCAAAAATTAGTTCAACAAATTAAACTCATTTTCCCATTTCCTTTTTTGCATACAGTGTAATGCAAATAATGCAAATATTTTAGAAGTACATTTATTGCTTAGAGATGTAAGTACATGATAGTAGGTGTTCTCTGGGTCCAGAATCCAACGCTACTATTCGCTGATTTTATAATCCTCTTTCGGGAATTTCATCCTCTACAATATGCTATTTGTTTTAGACCCCTGCTGTGCGCTAAAGTTTTACCCTGAAATGGAGGTTTGCGAAAAGGTAAATATTTGTTCGAAAATAATATATCCTGCAAGTAATTGCCGATGTCTTATCTATTAAAATCAAGTTCATTTGCATCTAAAAAATGTAATTCTATCCAGCCTTATGTGAAAATTATATGCACATTGTAAAAGAAATTTACAACATACTTGCTGACAGGCTTCATACAATGAACATTACAATCGGACAACGTCAAATAAAAGTAAACTGCCAGTAAGATTTAAATCTTTTATGTTTCTTATCATAACTTCTTTTATTGAAGAGATATTGATACAAATGTTTTGAATTCATAATGTGTAACCAAATAAAGGAATTCAGTTTTTGCCACAAACCCTAATTTTCGAATTCCTATATCTCTTTAACTTGGTAGTGAAGTCCATTTGATATTTCAATCTTAGATTATTTAATCTAACAGAATTCATAGTTTGAAATATCTAAGGTCTACTACATAAAGGCTGTAAAGATATATGGATTAGCAAATCAGAATTTGTGGTAAAGACTTAACTCTTTTGCTACGTTACACACAATGCATAAAATCAGAACTGAAGGAGCAACAGAGTCACAAAGTCGGAATAGTGAAGTAAATTAAATCTGACCTGGTTAGTTTACAGTGGGACAAGCAATGGGTTGCTTGCGCAAAACCAGAACTAACTTGCCTCAGACTCAAATTTTCTGACCCGAGCGCTTTAGTTAAAAAATTAACTAGACAAAAAGTAAACTGAGCTTGAAATTCTTGATTGTGATTTCTAGTATATGTTGAATTTAAAACAAACTTTAGTGCCCTAAACTTGAAAACTTAAAACTTATTTTGTCGTTGCAAAACCAACATTGTGTTTGATGTAGCATCAATACCACAAGTATGGAAAAATAGAAAATAGGAGTTAAAAATCATTCATCAAACTATCTATTTATTCGTTCTCATGATAAACCTGCTCAGAAAGAGGATTTTTAAAAGAACAAACCTCAGATACATACTTAAATTTTTTTGATCAATTTTGGTCAATTTGGTCATTGTGTAAACTGCATAGTATAAAGAATAAAGTTAAGTCTGATGATTATACGAAACGAAAAAATATGTGTGGGATTCTTTCAAATGAAAGGACTGTACTTGATGATTGACAAAAATTTCACTATCACAAAATACAAAATAAAATATAAAAAACTTATCAATTTTTGTTGGCACAAAATGACTATTTTTGAATTTCATTATTACTGTTTCTAAGAAAAATAAAAAAAATAAATTTAGCAATAGAGTTGAAATAAGAACAATGCTTATTGCTTATATTTTCTTTGTAAATATTTTTCCTCAGTTCCCTGGTGGGAACGATAAACAGACAAACTGTAATACAAGTTTGTGCATGAAAGCAATTTTAAGACAAAGAAACTAGATAAAATTGTAAATTTATTCTTATTTTACATTATTTTAATTTTCTTTAGGTCAATTTTATACATAAATGGTCTAGGATGAATTTATATTAGTTGTTCCTTTTATACATTTACCTAATTTATCTGAAAGTAGAACCATGTACTGTTAGTTAAGTTAATTACGAAGAGTATTGAATAAACGGCACTGATGGGTTAAAAAAAAATATTTTTTAATCCTAATTTTTTATCCGACTTAAGTTAAAAATGTGTTTTTAATATCTGTGTATTTGTTTTAAAAATAGAGATATATATAATTCCTAATAAACTTTGCAATTTAGGAGATAACTGGACAGAACAATTCAGAACAGAAGTATTTGGAGAGAATACAGGGATATGTCAGATCCAATTTTTTTCCTTGTCCGCTAGATATAGATATTCTGATATGTAATATTTTCCGTACCTTTGTTCAGTCCTCACAGCTTTTCCCAAAACCAAACAAAATAACAAATTTTCGTATTTGATAATACTCAAAGGAATTGAGTCTTTGCGCAACAAACTCAGATTTTCCAATCCCTATATCTTTGCAACCTTGTGGTATAAACCTTCTTTATTTCAAATCTAGATTATTTAATTTAACAGAATTCATAGTTTGAAATACTTAAGGTCTACATATCGTAGTTTGCAAAGTATAGGGATTAGAAAATCAGAGTTTGCAGCAAAGACTCAATTCCCTTGGTTTACTTTATTTTACTGTTACGTCTTACAAATTATAATTAAAAAGCCTGGATCGACTTAAAGTAAACTAGTTAACGGGCCCGTAGGAAAAAAATGAAAAAAATATAAAAAAGAAAAAAAAAGAAAAAAAAATTCGATTTTTTTTTAACTTTGACACCACCCGACCACCCATGAGTGTCCACAAAAAATCGGTCCGTCGAATGTCTTGTTTTATTATATAGATAGAGCCCCCCGGCAGTAATATATTACTTGGAATAGAGGGAAAGGTGCGATATTTGTTTTGTATTTCTAAAAACTATGAACTAATATATCTCCTTTGCTACGGAAGAAATAACTTTTTGAGAAGTCTTTGAATATAAATAAGTTAAAAAGTAAAAGAACAAGAAACAAGAAGGAAATAGAAATGGGTTTAGCTCATATACAAAAGGCTAAGGCATTTACTATTAACTATTAACTTTTAACAAAATATCCACAACTGAGACTTCTGAATCAGTTTGAATTGGTAAAAATGGATAAAAAAAGGCGGAGTTTCTTCATTTAAATGCGTTTTTAATTATATTTTTAATCTTTGTATAAAATCAAGACTTAAGGAGCGATAAACTATGAGAGACGGGGGCAGTAACGGGTTAACAAATTAATAATTTACTACGGAAGGATCAGCTTAAGTCCTTCTTAATGGGGGGGTATCAATGTTGTGGTTTAGGGAATTAGGTATTAACCATACAAAAGTTTCGACCGCTTGACAAGGCACTTTAAGGAAAATTCAATCTGGTTTATGAATAGGAGGAAGACTTTGGAGATACCCAAATAGGACGTATCCGAAAAATGCTCTGGAACCTGACAGAGTACCCAGAGACAAGTCTAGCTGCTAGGGTTAGTATGAAAGCTATATCAAACAAAGGAATAAAGTATTTGAAAATGAAAGATTGTAGCTTAAGAATTACCTTTCTTTACTTTGGAAAATTTTCTTTTTTAGGGATGCCATTTAAGCAAATTAAAAGAGTTATTTTTTAGTATCTTTAAAAAAGCCTTCTTTTTAAAAAAAAAAAATTTGACTATAATTTATATGATACAATTGTTTCAAATACTGTTCGTTAACGTTTATCTGAAATCGTTATAAAGAATAAATTTTCAGATGTTCGTTCATTCTTAGCTAAGTTTGAAGTTATCCTTCGATAACGATCACAACCCTGTTAACGCCGTTAACGGAAAATTAACGACTATTTTATGCAAAAATAGTGGGGGGAAATTTATATCAACATATCAACACGTATAAAACATTAAGAAACATTAAAGTTTATCTTTCATTTTCTGTAAGGTTCATGCAGTTTTGAGCAGAACAATTTTGAAACACATTCTTGTATTCTTTTTTATCATGAACGAACGGTAAATACCATTAGTTAACAAAATACAAATTTATGGATTTTGTGAAGCCAAGCCAAGCCTTGGGTTTACGCAGAGATATTAATTTCTAAAGTTTCTGTTTAATAATTTGGAAACTTAATCAATATTAAAAAAACAACATTCTAAAATATAAATAACAAATTATTGATGTTTTTAATTCCTTTGATGGGAAAGTAAACAACATTCTTAATTTTCAACTTTTTAATGTTAATATACTGAGTGTGTAAAACAGGCTCGTAGCCAGGATAGTTCCAGGGGGGGGAGGGGTGCAAAAAGGCACGGCGAAGGCAATTTTTTTTTTTTTTTTACAATGCTTGGTTTGTTTTTACAGTGCATGATATATGGTTGTTTTATTACATTGTCAATGCACACTATAAAGTCTAAGCTTTTAACAAGTGTATTTGAGCTTTGAAGGGTTATATTTTAGTGTCTGCACCTTTTCAGTTTACATATACAATATACATAAAAAATAAATGAATGGTACTTTAGCTTAAGGAAAAAATTTATTATTTAAAATCAATGCTTCTTGTCCCTCGGCCTCTTCATGATAATATGAAAATGAATAAAAATTAATTTCTAATTTTTTGTTTAAAAGAGTTTGTTTATTGCCAATGAGAAATTTAGAAATTCTTAGTAAATTTTTGAGTACTCAAAAAAACTCTCCTCTACTTTGACTAAAAATAGATTATAATTTGGTTTGGGAAGGGAATAAATTCTTACTCGGGTTATATAATTGATAACTAGATTTTAGAAAATTATGAGAAACAATTTCTTTTATATGGGACGGGGGGGATGCAAAATCGTCATTGACCCCCCTTTCAGAAGAAAGGGGGTGCACCTGTCCCCCTACACCCCATGGCTATGGGCCTGGTGTAAAATGTCTTTCTAAACAGGATTCGTTTTATTATAGTTCTTCAATTATTAGAGTCACTTGCCGGAAACAGGAAAATGTTAAACTTAAATAGAATTGCTTATGAACTTATGCCTCTAAAGAAGCTTATATTCTGAGAAAAATAATTAAAAAAAATTTTTTTTTTGAAATTTTATCCCGTGCCAGACACATCTTTCTTCAGAATAGAGAACAGAATTTAGATAGTTCGTTTTTCTCTATGAGATTAGAGAATGAATACGGAACATTTTTTTATTTAACTTAATCCATTTATTTTTCATCTACACCATATTGATTTATATTTGTGTTTTAAAATAAATCTTAATAATAATTGATAATAATTATATATCTCTAATGTTTTATGATTTCAGATTTGTGCGTTTACCAGTATTTCTGTGGTAATAATATCAACTATAACGTTTGTTCTCTCCACTCTTCCAGAACTTACAGGAAAACACAAAATGATTCTAGAACATTTTCTCTTCAAATTGCCCTTAAAACCCAGGGGAGTGGTTATAATAAAATTAAGGATAAAATCTATGTTTCTGGAGATTCTTTTATATTGATTAAATTTTTATTTTTGTTAACTCATCTAGTAACGGAACTAAACACTGGCCTCAATGTCAAATTTTCGAATTTCTACATTTTTTCAATCTTTGATATTTTAAACTTTGGCGATTAGAATTAGCAGTTTACAGTTTAAAGGTTAAGATTAGAGAATCAGAATTTTAGCCAAGCTTTATTTCCATTTCTTCTTTGTATAGACAATGATATCTTTTTCTAAAGGTGTCTCCGAAAAAAGTGTGTTTAATACCAATTTAAAGGGGGGGGGGGTCGTGCAGGAATATTTTTCTTTCAAATTATGCCTAATATTCGAAAATGTGCTCGGTCTCATTTCCCAAGATATTAATTGCGTTGTCACCCACTAAACGTCGTTTTATCCTACTATACAATACAGTAGCAAGTACAAATGTCCATACATTGGGGGGTCGTTGTTTAAACATTTTATTCTAAAATTCCTTATAGCCTTCAAAATGTACTCGAAATGACTGACTTTTCAAAAGATTTTCAAAAAAATTCGAAATTTTTTTCGTGTTTTAGTGTTCAAACTCCTTAATTTTATCATTGAAAATGTGCAATTTATTCTATTTTGTCGTATAAAACGTAAAAATAAAATTATATTTTCAATTTTTTAAATTTTTTTTTTTATTTCCGAATATGAGGTCGGCTTTTCAAGGTTAACACGGCATTTTATAGAAACATATTTCATGGTCGACCCCCCCCCCCCGATTTGAGGGTATTTTACCATCTTAAAGCACTTTTTAGCTCGTTTAAACGATTTTTAGTAGGGTAAAAAAAGCGCAAAGACACTTTTTTCAGAGACATCCTGTAATGTTAAAAAATTAATGCCGGAAAAAAGGTAATAACATTATTATCCAATAAGTAATAAGATGGTGGATGGTTGAGTGCTGAGGAAGAAAGAATTAATTCATAAAGCTATTAACCTGTCAATTCATAAAGCTATTAACCTGTCAATTTTTAACACAGCTTAATTTTCTGTGAGAGCCAATTTAATTAACAAATATATTATCATTTAACAAGAAAGAAGCATTATGATACTTTTTTTATCCACATCAACCGCTTTTTTAAAGCAACCATTTTAGAGCAATTAGTTTGTATTTACAACTTAAAATGTCAAACAAAAGAAAATTTTAAAATTGTAAACATAACGGTAAAAATTAAATGCATTCAAAAAAATCAAACAAACAAAATGAAAAAAACTTGAAAATTTTGACGCAAAAATCAATAATCAAAAAAATCTTTGGATATTTTAACTTATTCAGCTTATTTGATATTTCTTTGTGAAAATTTCCTATTCCCTGCGACATATTGTATTTATGACAAAACGTCAGAAAATGTTCAGTGAGGTATATTCATAATTTATTTGATACTTAACCTTCCTTATACTGCATTCTTTCTTGCTACTATTAGTTTTTTGAATATTTTCATTTTTTATAATTTATAATTATTTTCCCCCTTTTTGATTAAAATCAATTCAAACACTTTTACTAGTGCTAACATCTTTAAAGAAAGTTCTGTTGCAGCCTTTGAATAAAAAAAACAACCAGTTAAATCCCTATATTTTTAGAACTTTCTTTTATTGTGAATCAAATTTAGGCTAAATATATTCTGTTTCTGCATCCTGCAGATAAAACTTCTCTGTTATTGTAGTGGAAGCAGTTAAATTGAAAGCCTTTATATTTGGTATTTTCGGAGCAAAGTTTACTCTCTCGAGGCATATTCCATCTTTCGGATTCTCAAAAAAAATTCCATCTTTTGTAAACTTTTTTTTCGGATTCTCAAAAAATGTATTTTACCAAAAACCTAGCTCTGCTTTCGTCTTCTACCACCTCCCGATGTTTTTTTTGTTCGCTAGAGGTTTTGTTTGTTAAGATAATATTGATATAATGCTGTTCGATAACTCGACAGAGGATGGCGATATCGGAGACCATCAAATCATTGAACGATGGGATGAGGTGACTAATTAGATTCTCAATTGTATTTTCCTTTTCAATAAAGATACCAATTGCTTTTAAATCTAGAATGCAGGGGAAATTAGTTCCAAAACTAACAATTGGCCCATTTTTAACACTGACTGTTAGAAATGGGCCAAATCTGCAAAGCTATCTTTTTCAAGCGAATATATCTTCAAATTCAAGCCGAGTTAAACAAAAATACACCATACATTTAAAAGAAATGGCTAAAACTATTTATTGGAACAAGAAATTTTAAACTAATATTAAGGTGTGATAATTGGTTTTTGATGATTCTTGTTTTCATTTCCGAACATATCTCTATTTTGAAACAATTACTGCATTTCAGCTCATGTCACGTTTTTGAAATATATCCTGGTTTTGAGACAATTACTCGAATTCATATCAATGTTAATGTTCAAGTATTTATGCACTTACGCAATAAAACAAGATATTTTGATAAGGCAAAAAAAAACAAAATAGAAAATAAAAAACATATTCTTCCTTTGTAATTTAAAAACATTACGACATTGAGAAATCAAAATATTAATTTTTTCTTCTTACAATGTAGATTTTACGAGAAATGCAGCAAAAATTGATTGTTTAAAATGCAGGAAACTAAATAAACTTTATTCATTTAACAAATAAGATGTGAAAACCTAGATTCTAAATATAATACAGAAGTTACTTTAGGCTTCATAAGATAATTTTTACTTTCAGTGATTTATATTGTAAGTTATGAAAATGAGTTTTGTTTTGAATTGCGGATTATACTCATAACGGGATTCAAATTCAGGATATGTTCGAAAATGGAAAACCTCACATTGTCATAAAAACGGTCAAGGGTTTTAACATAAAAAACTACTTTAATACTTCTAATTTAAGAAAATTCGGAATTTTTGTCCTTGTGATGCTTCATAAAATTTTGATTTTGGTTTTTACTATCGACTTTTACTCTCAATATGGACCGGGACCCTAAACCCCAGTCTTTAAATTTGTGCCCATTTCTAACACTCAGATTCCGTAAAATATTTTATTACTTTACAATATTTCTTAATAAGATATTCTGGTATTGGTACTTCAATATGAAGACGTTCTGATGGCTATGCAATGATGTGATCTGAACAAAAATGATTTTTATCTTATTCTCATTAAGCCTAAGTATGTAACTTCATGTATCATAAAAAGGTATTTTTGCCCAAAAGTTTAATCGTGACTTTGATTTTGCTTAGTAAACAATAAAAAAACTCTTAGCTCGTTTATATGTTCGCTATAGCTGACCAAACGGCTGAACCAAATTGACTTGCATTTTGGGGGGAACCCATGGGTAGGGTACACACACATATTATGGAATATTTATAAAAAATCATGATTTATTAGCAAGCGCGGGGAAACGGCGGGAGTGGCTATGAGTAACCTTGGCAACGGCGGGCAATTTCTAGTAAATAATAGTTGAACACTTTGGTTAATCAAGAAAGTCCAAAACTGACTGATTTTCTTTGTTTTTCAAAAACTAGTTAACTAAATTTGAATTTTGAATTGGGAAATTTTGATTTGAAATGAATATTTAGGGAATCCTGATGCTGAAAATAGTTGACGAGCTGACCATGTGGTTCTTTACCATAGGTAGGTCACGTGAAATGTGGTTCTTTACCATAGGTAGGTCACGTCAAATGTGATTCTTTACCATAGGTAGCTCACGTCAAATGTGGTTCTTTATCTTAGGTAGGTCTCATCAAATGTGGTTCTTTACCATAGGTAGGTCACATCAAATGTGATTCTTTACCAAAGGTAGGTCACATCAAATGTGTTTCTTTACCATAGGTAGGTCACGTCAAATGTGATTCTTTACCATAGGTAGGTCACGTCAAATGTGATTCTTTACCAAAGGTAGGTCACATCAAATGTGATTCTTTACCATAGGTAGGTCATGTCAAATGTGTTTCTTTACCATAGGTAGGTCACGTCAAATGTGTTTCTTTACCATAGGTAGGTCACGTCAAATGTGTTTCTTTACCATAGGTAGGTCACGTCAAATGTGATTCTTTACCATAGGTAGCTCACGTCAAATGTGGTTCTTTACCATAGGTAGGTCACGACAAATGTGGTTCTTTACCATAGGTAGGTCACGACAAATGTGGTTCTTTACCATAGGTAGGTCACGTCAAATGTGGTTCTTTACCATAGGTAGGTCACGTCAAATGTGTTTCTTTACCATAGGTAGGTCACATCAAATGTGGTTCTTTACCATAGGTAGGTCACGTCAAATGTGGTTCTTTACCATAGGTAGCTCACGTCAAATGTGTTTCTTTACCATAGGTAGGTCACATCAAATGTGGTTCTTTACCATAGGTAGGTCACGTCAAATGTGGTTCTTTACCATAGGTAGGTCACGTCAAATGTGTTTCTTTACCATAGGTAGGTCACGTCAAATGTGATTCTTTACCATAAGTAGGTCACGACAAATTTGATTCTTACTACAGGAATTAAAAAGGCTGTTTTACAGCCTAAACAATACAATCACGACTTTGGAATTGATTTGTATTATAAGAGCAATATGTGATGAGTGATTGTTTTGAACCAATCGTTATTTTAAAGTTTGGATTCTTATCAAAATATAGCATCTGTACGCATTATGTTGACTTATTTTATTAAAACAAACAAATCAAAATTTGCTATTAATTGGAATGGATTTTTGGTTGACATAAAATGATCAGTCTTTTTGCTGATTTGCATATTTACTAACTTAAGTTAAGTTTGTGTTACAATAGATAATTCTATTTGTTTTTGTTTTATTTTAATTGCTCGGGTTGAAACTCACTCAACTCTGTCAGATTAACATATACTCTAAAATGGAATGAACCTAGCCCGTTTTTTTCAACATTTTTTATAGTTTATTTAGGTAATGGACAAAAACCTTTTTTGTGAATCCTTTAAATCGTAGAAAAGGTACTTGCCAAAAATTTCATTTAAATACAGAGTTACCCAAAAAACATGAAAGTTGAGTGACGATTTTAATAACGTCTTTATAAATAAATTTTTGAGTTAGTATGTTCATGCCTATGTAAAGCTGTAATTCATAGATGTTTCGCCTTCTGGTGTTATGCATTTTTGTGTTTGTATTTTGATTACATACTGTTGTACTTGTATAAAAGGAGAAATTCCCATAAAACACGGTTGTTCTTCTTAACTATTTATCTTGCAAAAATGTTTCAGACATCGTGAAACGTATAGCAGAAAAATAACATGTCGTTTACCGTTAACATAAAGTATGCTCTGGCAGACGTAACTTTATTATTTGTCTCTTAAACTCACATTTATTGGGATGCCATGTATGTTCTCGAGATCGATTTTAGGTATTACAGCGATAATTCAAGACAAAAACTATTCCAAATTCGTCCCCTAATTCCCATGTTTTTTGGATACCCTTTCTTACATTATATACTGGAACTAGATTCCTTTCGGAATAAATAAATGTTTCAGATACCAAACATTCTTTACTATACTCTGACAGAATTAATAGTATATTATTAATATCTGTTCATAAAAACTTTCTAATAAGAGTTTGAAAACATGGAAAATGATCAAGATAGGTTTCTTTGTATTTCCTCCTAATCATTAAATAAGTGTATTCACACTAAGAATAATGGATGGATTACGCACAGTGCACAGTTGACTAAAATTAGTCTTATTACTGTAAAACACGGAGAACAACACAAGAAAATATCTTCTTGCATTAACCGTTCAAATTACACAATTGAATAATAAAAGGGCTGTCTTTGTTGTATCCATATCCTCCATTTTAGGGAGGAGATGCCCAATTCACAACCGTATCCTTTAAACCTTTATCTGCTCTGTATTTCCACACACCAAAACCAGACTTCTTCGTAAGAATTTCTGATTTAACCCTAAACAGCTGGGGGGGGGGGAGTTTGGCGCCCCCTCCAGTTTATTTGCCCTAGCGCTCTCATTTTTGACAGTATCACCGTAAAATTTTACTTTTAATAAATAGAAATTTAAAGGATTTTTTGAAATTTTTTTTATGCGTAGGATAGGGTACGGTTGGCGGTAAAAAGTCTGGTCTGTGTAAAAAAAAATCTAAAAGAGCCCATTACTTTTTTATGACTAAAGCTACAGATCTAAAAACTATATTTTTGAAAGCCCTTGGCATCTTTTTCAACCCTCCATAGCACCCAGCCTTTAAAAAATGTGGTGTTAGGTACTTTCCAAAGGCATTTCTCAAGGGCAGTGGCAACTTCCCAAATTTGCAATTTCCAAAGCGGCAACTTCCCAAATGTACATTTTCTCAATGACAATTTCCCAAGTGGCAACTTCCCCATGAAGGAAAAACGGCATTTTCCCATGAAGGAAGTATTAAATGAACATTTAAGTTTCACATTTTTAAAGAATTTCTCAACTTTTTTTTAGAAAATAGGCAAATTGAAAAAAAATTTCTCTCAGTAAGTAAGGCAAGAACATGTTGGTGGCCTAAACCCTTTCTTTAAACAATAAAAATGCATTAAACTCTCCTTATTATTATTTACGGTTAGGTTAAGCCTTCTTAGGCTAGAATGGGCTAGGGGGCAGAGCACTGCAGCTAGGATGGGCGAGGGGGCCGAGCGCTGCGGTTATTCCTTTTTTTAAAGATAATATAGTAAATTTGTTTCGCTACTTAGCGAATTCCCTAAAGACCTAATGAAACTTATAAGTACCGAGTGGTATTTCTCTGGATAGGATTGTAAGACTTCCTTCT